CAGGTCAGCAAACGGGGCTAACAGGAGCTCAGTGCTGCTGCGGCATGAGTTCCTGGGGCCTAGGTTAGTAAGGGCGAGAAAGCCTAGGCCTGTGCCGGAGGTTGGCGACTTTGCCAAGCCACTTGCGTTCAGTTTAGTACAGGCATGCCCATGTATCGGTTCCAGACCTTCTGCCTTTTCTGAGTGAGCCGGAAGTGGGTGAGTTTCTCCCCTGTACTGGCAGGGCTGATAGGGTAGGCAGTACAGACCAGGCAGTTCAACCTGCAGAACATTTTGCCTAGGGCTTTGTACAGTGCCAAACCAGTGAGTAGCCGTAGGCCGCCGAGCTTCTCGCGGAACTGGTTAGGCCCTTTTTCTTCTCTCGGTGCTCCCTGCACATAGTACGGCCGTGTCAAGCAGGCCAAGGACACCTCGAGAGTCCCTTTTCCGTGCATAGTTAATACCTACCGGAACTCCGGTTCCGAAGAGCCTAACCTGGCTAGCGACTCAGGCCGCTTTCGAGTGATATATGTGACCCTCCTAGTTTCCCAGTTGACACGTGATGTGCACTTGAGTTGTCTGCTATGAGTGTGAAGCATAGGCACGAGGACATGTCAGGCAGTGCAGATTTCTTTTGGCTTGGTGAGACCTTGTTTTGAGTGGGAAGAACCGTTTTCTGTTCGTTTTCTCGAAACTCGTTTGTCGGAACTCGTTTCCTGTTTGTGACCTGGTATTTGGTGACCAGAAGTGACTCAAGCCAGTTTAGGTCTGCACAGAGCTCAGCAGAGCACCTAAGAGGTGCTAGGAACCTACCCACAGTGTTTAGGAGTAGAAGTTCCATGGCTGAGTGTTTTCACCTGAAGTACCTTTGTTTTCCCATGTCTGGCAGACAGTGTTTGAAGCTGGAGAGCCGTGCTCGCATTGGCTCAAGACGAGCGGAGCTCGAGAAGCTGTGAACAGCGCAGTGAAAAGAGTCCGCACTTCGTGCTGTGAGGGTTGAGTGTAGTCTTGACCTGAGGTCCCTTAGGCCCCCGTAGCTGTGCCACGAGTTTCAACGTAGCCAGCCGTCGTTGAAGGCCCGTCACTGCCCAGGGACCCTTAGAATGACAGGAATGACAAGAATGACAAAAACGGCGAAGTGCGAGAGCTCAGGCAAGCGTCATCTTAACACTTTTCATTTTGACGTTTTTACGTTTTTGAGACTTGTTTTGTTCTCCGAGCGTTGGTTCTGTCCAGGGGGCAGGCTCGATGTCAGTGGATGGCGCGGCGTTTCCCAACTACCTTATTTGACAAAATTGACATTTTATATGAGAGTAGTCAAGTTCCAAAATGCGATTTAGAGGCTCTAGGCCTTAACATGCAGGATTTCGCAAAATTGACAAAGCTGACACGACATTTCACATCAGAGTTGTCAAGTTCCAAAAGTCATGGGTGAACGGTTGGGAGAAAACAAGGGAAGATACAATCACTGGAAGAGGATGGATGAGGAGAAGAGTGGGGCAGGTAAAGGGAAAGGATTCTAGGGTTTGTTGAGACTTGAGAATAAAAAGGTAACCATAGAAATACCAGGATAATACTGAGGCTAGAGACAACATAGAAGGGCAGTAAAGATACCTAAAAGTTCCTGGAAGGTTGTAAGGCTGTTAGGAGGGCAGCGAGGAGCAGTGAAGGGCTTTTGGGGGTCCTGGGCGGTTTAGAATGGCAGTGAGGAGCAGTGAAGGTCTCTAAGAGGGGTTTCGGAGGGCAGTGAAGAGCATTAAAGGATCTCTAAGAGGGGTTTGGAAGGGCAGTGAAGCCAAGTGATACAAACTTTCCTCTCTAGTTGGACTTGAACCTGCCGCCGAAAAAATGACAGCCGTCATTTCCGTCATTTCCGTCATCTCCGTCATTTCTGTCATTTAAGCTCACTCTTGATGTGCAGCAGAGCACGTGTGGACTTTTGTTTCAAGAAATGTCATTTGTCATTTCTGTTATTTCCGTCATTTCTGTCAATTTCAAGGGGCTCATTCCGGCAGCCGAAACTTAGCCGGAGCTCATCTGGAGCTCATCTGGGGCTTAGCACGGGCTTAGCCGGGGTTTATTTGGGGCTCAACGGGGGGCGCGTACTCTTCTGCCTGTCCAATGTAAGAGCATGTGCAGGAAGAATACATGGAAAAATCTCGAGAGAAAAAAACGAGGCGTCAAAAACGTCAATTTTGTCAAACAAGATAGTTGGCGTATGGCGTGTCGGTCCGTCCAGTGTGCAAGCATGTACAGGAGAGGATGCATGGACTCTTTCTGATGTTAGACACCTTTTTTTTCCCCACCAGATCACAGCAAGTTAACACTGTTGACAGAATTGACACATTTAACAAAATTGTCAAGTTCCAAAATGCATCCACAGGGGTCGTAGCTTTTGTAAAAGGCAAGAGTGGACAAAATTGACAAAATTGACGCGCCAAATTTTCTTAAGAGCTTGCGGCGCATTGCACGTCGAAAGAGGGTCTTGACAGACATTTTTTGAGCAAAACTCTCAAGCGCTGAAATGCGTCCACAGCTATGGGCCTTCCAAAAGATTTGACAAAATTGACAAAATTGACGTCAAATTTTCTGAGATTGCGGCGCATTGAGTCTCTCTTGCACATTGATCGGGTGCTCTCCTCAGCTGTTCTTGGAATGCTTTTTACACAGATAAAAAAAAATCATTTTTATTGCTCAGCCAATTTTGTGGTTGCCCTTCTGGAGCTTCTTGGATTATCCGGGCTGCGACCTCCTTTTTTTGCACCCCAAAGCTCCAACACGACATTACTAGGCGATTTTTTCGACGGATCGCTCGACTTTTCATTTTGTCCTTGAAGGGCAAATTTGCTTTGAGTCTGTGGTCTTGCTGCTCCATCTTTGTTTCGAGATTGGTTTTTTTAGCGTCAGAAGTGCAGGAATTCGATACAATTCATTCTGGCTCTAGATAGTCTCTGGAGGGTCAAAAAGGTGTCTACTGAAGAGAGAGCATGGCCGTGCCGGCCTATTTTGACAAATTGACAGAATTGACATTTTCCATCCAAAGCGTTAATTGTTATGGATCTACACGTTCTGTGGACCTTAAAAGGAACAGAAATTGACACAATTGACAAAATTTCTGGGCGATTCTCTCTGCGAACACTTTTTTTGGCCTACAGGGCAAATTTGATTTGGGTCTGTGGTCTTGCTGCTCCAAGAATTCGATATGATTCATTCTGGCTCTGGATAGTCTCTGGAGGGTCAAAAAGGTGTTTACTTAATAGAGAGAGACAGCGTTATGCCGGGCGTTCAGGTTGTTAGTAGGAAGCGTACACACATCATATTACTACCTTTCGGGGCAAGAAATTCAGGGTGATTTCACATCCGTAAAAAGTGTGGGGTAAAAAACTGTACATGGGATTAAAGCTGCGGCAACTAGAAAGCCGACCCATAATGTGGGGTTCTGCGGGGTACCAAAGTGAAGTACTTTCCAACCATTCTTCTGCCAAAGCAGTAAGATGGAGTCTAGTTTGCAGAACTGTTTAATGGTATTAGACTGACCAGATTCGATCAGGCTTTCTGCTCTGCTGTTGCCCAGCAAGAATCTTTTTGCCTGGGCTTAAGTTTGCGCCAAGCCAAGAAAGAGCCAATCTTCCAACGCTTGGAATGGGCCACGGGGCAAAGATTCTGAAGCCCTGCACAGACTTGTAAGTGTGGCTTCTTCGCTTTTATGCAACAGGATGTTTGTTACAACCCATACAAAATTCTATCAGGCCTTTAAAAAGCTTTACTGTTTTCAAGATGAAAGCTTTAAGCACACATCTCCAGAAACACAACTTTGAGAAAGGGCCAATCTTGATGCTCTCTCAGCCTGCTTCCATTTTAGCAAAAGATTGTGTTTTAAAGCGATTTACGCTTGCAAGAAGACCAACTTGTTTAAAGACCGTTCTTGCAACATCGTAGCAGATTTGAGCACCTTAAGAGTTAAACTCTTACATTCACATTATGCGGTTTGCACTTGACTCGCACTCGACTCTTTTTACATGATAAAATAAGTCCGAGCACGGCTGGTGGATTTTGATCCATTCTGCAAGACACAAGACTGCTGTCATGTAAGTCCCCAGTGGCTGACCACCATGGAGCGCACGGAACAGGAAGTTTCCATGGCACTCCAACCTGCCTTGGCGAATGTGGTAAGGTGTACAACTTCTAGGCGCTTAAGCCCTGGCCCTGTTGTTAACCCGGCCGTCTTCTCTTGCCTTGCGAATGCTTACTGTTCGCGAGCGAATTGTGTTTTATCGCTTGCTTCCAAAAATGCCCTGTGAAAAACGGTTTGCCGTTTTGTCACTGTTTGAAACCAAAAGTTTCGTGATGCGCATGTTCCCCACGCTCCACAATTGCCTGTTGCATGTTTTGCAAATTCCTTGATCAGCAGTTTACAGGGTTGCAGTGGCTGTATGCAGTTTGTGCACTGCGCCTGGATGTCCAACATGCCATGCTTTGTGAAGCTAAAGGACGGCTGATATTTGCAACTTGATGCGTGTTCCTTGTCGTGCAGCACGGGCTCCATCGGGCCGTGAAAATTTGTCGTGTAAACGAGGTTGGGGCTTCAAACAGGTCTTTCTTCAACAGGCCCCATCCTCCAACCTTGGCCTTAGGCCCCGTGCAAGTTGCCTGCGTGAAGCAGGCAGCGGATGGGAGCTCGCCTCCGTGGGCAAGCCGCGCTGCGTTCCCCTGTGCACTTGGGGGCCTGCAAATCCGTGAGTCCTGCCAGGCGTGGCCCCTCCTCTTTCTGTTCCGGCTTCTGCTTGGGCGTGGCTTGCCTGTTGCTTCTCATCAGCCTTTGTTAGCCTCCCATGGGGTCCACTTGTGGTCGTCGTGCTCCGGAACAGCCGCTCGTTGAGCAGGATCCCCCTATACCGGCCTGTCAGCAGCTTTGTCAGCAGTGTGGTCGTAACGGGTGCATACGTTACCGTATCAACCACAACCACCATTGGTGCGCTCACTGCGTGATTGCCTGGTACTTGGCCGTCTACGACCGATAGATGGTGTTGCCTGGCTCAGCTGCGTCTCCGGACTTGCCCGTCCCTGCGGGTTCCGCGCCCCCTGCTGTGGCCCCTGTGTGCGTTGTTAAGCGCTTCAGGAAGAATCCCTCTGGGCAGTCTGCTTCGGTCAAAGGGGGAGGTTGTGCCAACGCCCAGGGAGATGCGCCGGTTGAGGGTGAGGCTTCAGAAGCTGTGGGCTTTGAGCCTGGTGAGCCTAGCTACCAAGCTGACGGTTTCCCGACAGGGCGTGCCAGCGCCCAGGCAGATGCTCTGGTTAAGGGTGAATCCACCATCCAAGCTCCAAAAGCTGTGGGCTCTGAGCCTGGTGAGCCTAGCTACCAGGCTGATGGTGTTCCGAAGGAGATGGGCAATGCTCAGTCATCACAGTCTCGTGATTCGCTACGTGGGAGTGATCCCGTTGATTTGGTGCCTAAGAAACCTGATGGCCAACCCGTGGTCCCAGAGCCTAAAGTCAGTGCGCCGGTTGGCAAGGCGATCGGATCCCATGTCCAAGCAGGCCCCGCCTGTATATCGCAGGCTCGTGCAACGCTACGTGGGAGTGAAGCCGAAGATTTGGTGCCCGTGAAACCTGATGGCGAAATGTTAGGTGATGGCGCGCGCGTGGGGTCCTCTCCTTCTGGCCAGCATAGTGATGCATTGCTTGCAACCCGTGCTGTTAGGGCTTGGTCTTCTGAGGCTTCCGGAATCCTTCACGAGACAGAGCGTCGTGCGCCTGGGCAAGTCGGGGTTCACCTAGGTAAGGGTGATGCCTTTGATCCCCCAGACAGACCTCTTGGACTGCCAGTCAGGTATGATGTGTCGAGCGCACCTCAACGCACCCTACCCAGCTCGCCCCTTCAAGGTGTGGGAGATGCGGTGCCCGATCGTGAGGGTGCCTTCAAGACTTCGTCGAGGGAGGTGACAACGACGGCTAGGACCAAGTCCTCTCATAGGATTGAGTCCGAGCAAGCTGTCAGACTTGCGCCACCTGAATGCGTATCCAGGCCCGGAGTCCACCCGCAGAGTGATGTGAGCCCTGCGTCAAGTGTTTCGGATGCTGAAACTGTGGGTGCGCAATATCCCGAGGTGCAGCTGGGTTTCAATGTGAACCAGGTTGCCAGTGGTGGACCAGGCCACGGTCCAAGTGGACCTTGTGCCACGGGGAGGGAGGCCGGAACCTACAACAAGGCCTCAAGCGCTAGTGAGGCCACCACAGAGCCCACTGGCAATCCCCTTGGCAGCTCTGCCAAGTACGCTCAGCGGGTTATGGGCCCTCAGCTCGAGGCCCCCTCAGGTGCACTCAGCGCGTTCCCCCCAGGGGTGTCCAGATCTCTTAAGCTCGATGAGTCGAGTCCATCAGCCAAGGCTCCTGCTGCGGCAATGTGCGTCCGCCGGTGCGGTGATGGATGAGGTCAGGCCGTTCCAAAGGCGAATATTCATGGGGCCCGCAGGTGTTCGTGATGTTCCTGGAAAGGTGTCTTTGCCTGAGAAACCAAGGGTGGTTGCCCCGTTGAGTTCGCGACCTGTATTTACTGGTCCTGGATCCATCCCCCGCAGGACGGAATGTCTCCCTAAGCGTGCCGCGGCCTCCCCTTCGAGCAACAAGTCAGATGCCCCACTCCTGGAACGTGTGCCTGAAGGGTCAACGTCCTTGCCTTCTGGTGATCGGCCAATGCCTCCACGACCTCCTAGCCCTAAGCGCAAAAAGAGGGAGCCCGAAAGTACCAGCCGATCCAGTGGCTCTGCTTCGTCTGACGAGGGCATCACGCAGGATTGTGCAGAAGCCTTTCTGGCCAGGCTTGATGCTCGTCCCACGTGTTCTGCGGGTCATCCCTTGTTCTCCTTTGGGTCTCCTGAGCCTGGATGGTGGTGCAGTGCATGCAAGCGCGTGTTCACCACGCGGCGATTGCTTTGGGGTTGTAGGGTCTGCGACTTCGACATTTGCGGAAATTGCTTGGTCGTCAGTCAAGGTGGCTCTTTCCCCACTCCGGCTCCGGCTCAGAATGTTGTCCATGATGCGCTCCCTGCTGTGCCGGTTCAGGATACCACTCAAGAGGCAATCCCCAGCAGCGCACAAGCAATGCCCTCAATGAAGCTTTTGCGTGCCTCAGGGGTTTTAACAGGCAGCGACATGTTCCCGGATGACCTTCACCTGACCCTGGAAGTGAATGGTGAAAGCCTGTCAGTCTTGGGGTCGAGCAGGGCGCCAGGGCTCAAAGGGGGTTTCCGGAAAGTGTATCACCTTCGGGGTGAAGGGCCAGCTGCAAGCCTTGTTGTGAAGCTCGCTGAAAACGATGCTGACAATGTGAATGAGGTTAAGAGTGCTGCTGCGTGTCCGGCAGCCTTTACCTGCATCTTCGGCAGTGGCTCCATTTGGGTGTCCCTTGGAGCAGACGGTTTGTGCCGGGCTCATTATGTCATTACGGAACGCGTGGTTCCGTTGACTGCTTTGTTGGATGGCCCAACTCTGCCCCCCACGGCGTGCACCTCTTTGGCCCTTCAATGTTGCCGGGTTGTGTTCCGGGCAACTCTTGCAGGTATCAAGTGTAGGGACCTTGGGCAGAAGCAGTGGGGCCTCAAGGTCCCGCCAAACTTCAAATTCCAGGACGAGATCTCCCTGCAACAAGTGCGCGAAGGCTTAACAGGTGAAGCGTTTCACCTCGTCATCCTTGACGCCAATTGTTGCCTTCCAGTGCCCCAGGCGAGCCTCTTGGGGCCACGCAAAATGACCTCATTTTGGGCCCTTCAAACAAGGTTGGTGGGTGCACCCGCTAGCGAGCGGCTCCAAGCGTTTATCCGCGCTCATAATTTCAATGCCCGCAGTTGTCTTTCCGCTTTGACGCGTGATCACGTTACGGGGCTTTGTTCTTGAGCCGGCTTAGGGGCAAATGTGTTTTGCGCTTTCTGCGCCCCTGGATTCACTTGGCACCGAGGCACTCGTCTGGAAGCGGTGCAAAGAATGCCTTGCAATGAGGATGCAGTTCGTGATGTCGAAAAAAGGGAAATGAGTGGGCGCTCACGCATGTGTTTGCGCATGTTTATGATGTGATGTCATGAGACGAGCAAATGTTGCTCAGCCAAGGGGCTATGTGGGTCTCATGAAGCGGCACATGGTGCCTTTGTATGAGCCAAGGGGCTGTCATACAACATGGCCATGGTGCCATATGTCCGTTGCACCATGGGTGCTCGTGCAAGGATGAAGGCTCAAAGCCATGTTCATGGATTCATGTATCATGTTAGGTCCTTGCTTTACGTTGCTTTTGGGCTTTTCCCGCCATGTGAGTTCGTGTTGTCTAGTGCCATGTGGTCTGCAGACAATGCTTGAAAAGACTGAAGTAGCAGTGCATGCCATGTCTGACGCACCTGAGGTGACATGTGGCCTCCTGCACGACGTCTTCGATATCCCCGACGCCCCGCTTGTGAGGGCACTATCTTGGAACGTCGGCCAAGCATTCCAATTACCTGTTATTCATGCAATGCAAGTGACGTGCGCCCTTGGAGCCCAGGCGAGTCTCCAGGCTGTTTTCCACCGGATACCACTCACGCCTTGCGCTGCTCTGCCGGTGGTCCACATGGCGCACCAAAACCGAGACGCAGGGCCCTCTGCCTGTATGCAGGCCAAATCAACGAGGTGGTAGTGCCTGGGCGTTGCATCCGTGGCGTCTATGCATCTTGCCCACATTTTCACACGTGGCCATCCTCGTTCAGTCTCCCAGAGGCATCCCTGGACAGGTGTGCACATCCGTGCCAATGGGCATACCAATAAGTTCTGGGGTCGCTTACGACGTTTCCTTTGACCTACACTCGGCTGTCCTGCCGGTCGCAAACCTGGCACTGTGGAAGGTTTGGCTGCGGCCTCTCCCTCAAGGTGAGCCATTCGACGTGGCATATCGTTTGCGCTTGCCCAGCTCCTCATTGTCAGCTGCGAGGGTCTTCCAGCCTAAAACCTGCTGTGGTCCAAGCGAACCCTGTCGGGGTATGTTGGATTTTCCCTAAGTTCTCCAATCTCGTTGCCCACCGACCTTGGCTTCTGGGTGGGAGCTGCGCGTGGTCAGGTTGCACGTGTTTGCGTGTCGCGCTATTTGTGTTGACTGCTCCGGGCCTGTTCCACTGTCCGGTCCAGTCTTGCCAGGAGGGCCCCTCGTGGGCTGTGCCGCCAAGTGTGTCTGCCCTGAGTGGCCATGCTGATGCTTGGTAATACAACATTGCAAATCATGGTTCCTCCTGTGCAGAGGGTGTGTGGCCTCAAGGCCTCGCCAGTGGCTCGGTTCATTGGGTGTTTGATGTTCACATGATCCGGTGCACGGCCCAATGCTAGGCTTCATGGACCAGCTCTGTCATGTCTCCTCTTCCTGGTCTAAAAGTTGGTCAGACCCGGCCTGCTACAGTTGCGCTGTGGGTGCCGCGCGTGCGCCGTGGCTCGAGCTGACATTGTGGTCTGCTTCACGTCTACACGATGCTGCGTTTACAATTGAGTCATGCGTGGCCCTTCGCCCCGCCGTGCCTCTAGGGCCGGGTCGACGTCGACGTGTCCGCCGCCGACCCCGGGCTCGGTCCGCATCTGCCTCCTGCCAGGGCCTTGTTCGGAGCGCAGGAGTCCGTTATACAGGGGACCATGCGCCCGCTCACTTCCAGCGCATTGTCGGCCTCCCGCCCTCCTGACCCATGTTCCCAGCGGTCCAACGCTGGCCACCGTAACCAGCTGGCCGTGCGCTGCCGCCGGCCTGTGCTCTAGTTCGGTTATATGGGGTGATGTTTGGGGATAATGTCTGGTTTTGGGTGGTTTCAGGATGCTTCAGTGTGCCTGTTTCAGGATGCTTCAGTGTGCATGTTTGGGATGCCTGAGGGGCTAGCCGGTGTTCGTCTGGTTTGTGCACGCAAGGTCCCTTGCCTTTTGGTTCCCTTGCCTTTTGGGTGCCCGAATACTAAGCCTGTTTCAGGATGCTTCAGTGTGCATGTTTGGGATGCCTGAGGGGCTAGCCGGTGTTCGTCTGGTTTGTGCACGCAAGGTCCCTTGCCTTTTGGTTCCCTTGCCTTTTGGGTGCCCGAATACTAAGCCTGTTGTGCCTGGATAGGGCTCCCCGGTCCTCCGGACCTGACGCAACGGCTTGCGCGTCGGGGGTATTGTCTTGTTGTTAGACGGTTCTACTTGTTGTTATGGGCACCCGACCTTTGAACCTGTGGTGCCTGGGCATTATCGGCCGGATCCACTGACTGTCACACGGCAGGCTCGTCCCGAGCACGTCGCAGGTTGGCCCGCAGGGTCTAGTGGGTCTGACGCTTGACATGCTCTCCCTGACCCCTTTAACATGCGATTGGAGCTGATTTATTTGTGTTGGGCGCTGCCAAGGCTGCCAGACCAAACGCCTGAATTAATTTAGCTTGAACGTCCCTCGCCCCTCGAGCGCTCCTGTCCTATCGGTGCTTGGAGAATTGGGGCCGAGAGCGCAACCCTGAAAGCGTGATGTGCGCTGTGCCGCTATGCGGCACATTGGGGCTAAGTGCACTGTGCCATAAGCCTTGGTATGCAGTTGCCAGGAGTAACATGCGTGGGTTGTGCTCGTGCACGTTACGTGGCAACTGAGTCTTGATTAGTGCTTTGTCAGGGGTTGCTAATTTCCGGCGTGAGCTTCTTTGGGTCGTATTCTGGCCCGGAGATTGCTGCTTTCCACCGCCTGTGACGGTCATGTCGGTCTCCCTCAAGGGTTCCGTCTTGAATCCAATGCAACAAGCCTCCCGTGCGCCAGTGGAGGACGGAGAGCTTGAGCGGTCAGCCTAAGACTGAGCCAACTAAGTGTCCATTCCCCTCATTGCATCGACTCCCTGTGTCGTGTGAGATTGAGCTGAATAGATCAGTTGGCCCGTTCCCCTTCCCCCTTGTGTTGGGCCAGGAACCTCCGTGCTGGAGGCCTACTGTGTGATCGAAGGGGGGCTTGTGAACCGATGCCTTTCAGCTAGGGAGCCCACCTTGGCGAACAACTTCCTTTAGGATTGGTCCCTGGGCCGACGCTAACACTCTCTGGGTCCCGTGACCCCCCCCGCATGCAGGCTGAGCTAACCTTGTGTGGTGATGACAGAGATGCTGGCGGCCCCAGTACCTCTGGAGCACCCGGCGGTGGCCCGGATCAAGACATGTGTTCACTTATGCAAGGTTTAATCGGGTCCCAATTTCTAGTTGGCACTTCGGACTCGTCATATAAAGTGTTACGTTGTGGACCGCAAGTTTCGTGATGTGCGGGTTGGGCAGCACCTGCGTGCTCTGGTTATACACGCTCTCAACAGTATTGGGCTGCCCTGGAGTTTGAGCCTCGGGGATGGGGGGATGCCCTCTGTGGATACTCCGGACTTGTTCTTGCTGGTTTCTTGGTCTAGCTAACGTTGGTCTGACTGGTCCCTATGCAGCAAGCCCCCCCCCCTTTTGTGTACCGCACACTGTTGGGGGGCACCCGAATGCATGAAGATGTGCTTGGTTGCAATACCATTGCCCAGAGAAGGGGGGGGGGGAGGTGAGGGTACTGCAGCGATCCCCCCCCCCGCTGCTCAACACCGAATTGACTGACAGTTACCAGCTTTGACCTGCGTGGTAAGGTCTGTGTGCGTTGAGTTGGCGCAATCTTAAGGCCAGACCCGTAGGGAGGGCTTCCCCTCGCGATGTTCGCTAGACTGTGCCTTCAGCCTAATGCTCCCGCTCCATGTGGGTAATTGCCTTGGGGGTGGGATAGTGTGGACTGCCTCGGGAAGTGGTAACTGCCACTTGGGGCGGGTGAATCCTAGAGACTGTGCTCTATGCTGTCTTACGTTTGATGGCAACCACCTTGGTTTTTTCGGTTAATTGGGGGCTTGTTGTTTGTTGTTGGTGTTGCGCACATGTTTGGCAGGAGTGTGCGCTGACACAATGTGCATTGTGCTGTCCATGAGGATATTTGATTCGCCCACCGATTGAAAAAGGAGGAATGCTTGAGACTGTCGTCGGCTTTGGGCTTTGTGCTTGTCCTAGGTTCGGATGATGCTTTTGGGTTCAAACCAATTTTGGCACAAGCGATAAGCTGACTGTTCGCGAGCGAATTGTGTTTTATCGCTTGCTTCCAAAAATGCCCTGTGAAAAACGGTTTGCCGTTTTGTCACTGTTTGACACCAAAAGTTTCGTGATGCGCATGTTCCCCACGCTCCACAATTGCCTGTTGCATGTTTTGCAAATTCCTTGATCAGCAGTTTACAGGGTTGCAGTGGCTGTATGCAGTTTGTGCACTGCGCCTGGATGTCCAACATGCCATGCTTTGTGAAGCTAAAGGACGGCTGATATTTGCAACTTGATGCGTGTTCCTTGTCGTGCAGCACGGGCTCCATCGGGCCGTGAAAATTTGTCCCACCCAGCCCACCCTGTGTCTGCAGTCGCGGGGCCCGCGCTCCGCAGCCGCGGGCCCCTGTGTACCTCGGCCGGCATCCGTGGCCTTGCCGCCCGGCCATCACCTTCTAGCCACTGACAGTTGCCTCTGACAACTTGCTGCACTTGAACGGTCCGCATGTCCAGTGAGTCTGCCCCGGCTGGGGTTTCGATGTTGTGTCTTTGTCTACGCTGCGGCGCCTCCGCGGCTCAACAAGCTCTTGTCCCACCCGGCCCACCCAGGGCATAAAAACAGGGCCCGCTACGGCGGCTGCAACTCCCTGTGTGCCATCTGCACTCCCTTCCATGTTTGCTGTACAGTTGTCTCGCCCTCAAAGGGGGCTCTGAGACTTGGTAGCTGGGGGCTTGTTGTTTGTTGTTGGTGTTGCGCACATGTTTGGCAGGAGTGTGCGCTGACACAATGTGCATTGTGCTGTCCATGAGGATATTTGATTCGCCCACCGATTGAAAAAGGAGGAATGCTTGAG